AACCATGGATGGTTTCTTTTATAAAGTGTCTCAACAATCAAGGTGCAAAGTGCCAACGTGTAAACAAGAAACAGCTTTTACATTCAAAATAACAATTCAGTTAATTAGTGTAGGGCTTTGGTTCATAACAGTTTCAAATGCCAAGTTTCCAAACTAACAACATAAAATGTGTAACTGACAGTGATGCACATCAGCAAAATATGGCATTTGCTCCAGATTTAATATCTCAAGCTCTTACAAAACGAAAGGAGGATAAACTAAGTTTATGTGATGCCAATAACACATCAAGCTCTGTGAATTTAACTATAATTAAATTATTCACATAGGGGAGCAGCATTTTTCTTAACCTTCAGGTCTCTTTAGGCAAGCAAATGAAAGTTACACTCTCATGGAAAGTATTTTACTTTCTGGAAGACGTAACAGTTTATAACACTGTTTTAAAGTGAAAGTCCTTTGGAAGTCGAGGTTGACAGGTAGCTTATTACACAACAGTATTGGGCACCTTGGTGTAAACTACAAATTAGCTTCTAATCTTATAAATTTCAATTTTTTTATACTTTCATATTAAAAAAAATTATTTCACTAAGATTTAAACAGGTTATTTTTAAAAAGTTTATCATGTTTAATCCTGATGTTTCCCTCTGCACTCACATTTCCAACTCTAAAAAAGCAGACTGTATTTTATGTGTATATACACACAGACCCCGATTAATGGAATTAATATGTCAAGATCTATTACATTTTGTGCAATTCTTTGATGTGTCTCAAAAGAACACCACACTTAAATCCAGAAGATTTTTTATCTCTTCTCTATTGATCCTTATGTGCTCTTTTATAACAGAACAGCTCTATCTTCCTTGTTAAACTAATTTTCAATTAAATGTGTAGCCAGCATGTGTAAACCTTAAACAGATCAACTGATTGCTGAGTATTTAAATTTTCAACATACTAAGCATTATTTTTAATAGATTCTTTTCAAAATGTGTAAGTAGTTACAAGGAAAGCAACAATTTAACACATAGTATATCTTATATAATGATGCTTTTAGTAATCAAATATATATAATAAATGTATGCATATATGTTATGAAAATCAAAAGCCATTTTACTTGATAAAACCCTATTGGTTGGTTATTTGGTTCCAAGTACACGTTCATGGAAAGGCCGGTTCTGATCAGAGAAACTTTAAAGTTTTCAAAAGCTTATCAACTCTTGAGATTGGGTCATCAAAATAGGGGTAATTAAGAACTTAATCTGTTCAACATGGTAATGTTTTATTTTAATATAAATAGTATTAGAACTTTTCCTGCATTCTGGTTTAAGGGAAAAAAGAGAAAATTTAAGCAAAACTAATTCACAGTGGGTATATTTAAAACCAATGACTTCCAGGTAGGTAGGGTGAGGCCAATCGGCAATGTTTTCTGTATAGAAACTATAAGAACTCAAATGTAAGATTTAGTTTGTTCAACATATAGCACCTTTAGTAAGGTACTCTTAGGAAATTGTCAACAAGAACCAAGGTAAAGAAGGAATTTCTACTTAAAGTTCAATTAAGCAGGATGCCCATACCCCACCATCTAGTTAATTGAGGCTTTTTACTATACTTGACTGAACCCTCACAATTTACCTAAATTCCAGCCTTCAATCCCAATTGTTTCACCTTTTTTTCTTTTTCTGAGTGTCAAAAACCAGGAAACCTTTGAAACTGCAGAATTATTATGCTTTCCTAAGAGCTCACAGCAACTTTTCCTGTAGCGGGAAAATGGCTACTACCACTATAGACATCAGTTAATACTGTAGCTTATGTATAATTTGCTATACCAAACTTACAAATTTTCAGAAACTTCATCTCAAACAAAAAATTGTGCTTAAATTACTCTTAAAAACTCATGTAACTGTACACCAAAGACCAAATACAGGTCAAAATCATATCTGTTTAACAAATACTAAACAGTGTTTAAAATTACAAATACAACCATTTAAATATCCGATTCTTGAATTATTAAATAATTGTAAAAGCAATACAGTTAAGTCTCCAATGGAATACCTGAACCAAACCTGCCTCCTTTTCACTCACCAAAATGTTACTTGGTAGCAAATGTACTGAAAATTCTCCCTTAAGCACTAACTGGTTAACTATGTTATCAAAAAACACACCCATTCATTTTCCCATAAACTGATCTTGGTGGATCTATATAAGATACTTGTAACGAAGTCTTAAAAGTATCTTTGAGTATCACTGTCAATCTTTGGTAGCAAGTACATGTTCATGGAAAAAGCCTGTTCTGACCAGAGAATCTCTAAGGTTTTTTAGATGCTTAACAACTCTTGAGATTGGGTCATCAACATAACTGAAAACTTAACATAGTTTATATACAAGAGTGCAGAATGCAAATGAGTAAAATATTAGCAACTTAAAATTTCTCTCTTAAGCCATAAGTCATTTCTCTGTTCAGAACCCACAACTGCAACCAGCTCTAACCGGTTCCTTGAGGAATGTGGCTAGGCTGAAATTTTGGAAGTGTTGGCTTTGGTGGTAACCAAGGAGGAAGAAATCTCTGGCTTCCCTGTTGCTGCAGTTCCCACCCTCCAAAATGAATATACCCACCGGTGTGAATTGACAATGTGGTCCAAAGAGCAAAGCAGGAACGGAGTCCAGATCCTCAAAATGGTAGTACAGGGCATAACCACTAGGCCACCTATCAGTTCAGTACAAAAAGTACAACCCTGTGCATCATGGTGCAAAAGCTGGGGCCTAGGTTTCGCATTGTGCATCTCACACCTATGGAAATAACAAGAGGAGTAAAATCTATAGAAGTCAACACACCCTAAGAAGGTGGGTGCTCACTGAAGACCAGTGTCAACACTTTTGCAAAGGTGGCTGGCTACTGAGATAATGAATGGTGGGTAATTACAAGTCCAAAGTTGGAAGGAAACAAAATTTTACAATCAACTCTTGAGTTTGACAATGAAGAACTCAACATGGGCTTGATGTTTACCAACAAGGCTTTGCAAATCATGACACCCATCTACACAGGCTTATGAAAATTACTCCCCCACTAACATCCCTCAAGAATAATTAACTGTCAAAGAGTTGGAAAAAGATTTGGGCCATGAAGAAGGGAGGTAATCAGCAATACCCCAAACTCAGGCTTTAAACTTTCCCCTTTACCATCTGACCTTGGAAAGATATGGTGACACATTCCAAGTTTAAGGATAATAAGAATTCTAGAGATGGGGAAATCTATGTGCCAAGATGATTCGTGAAGAACAAATGTGGATTGTTTGGGGTCAGTAGTTTGGACAAAGTAAAAGGAGAGAACTTCTGAAGTGTAGGTTGGATTCTTTTAAAGATATAAAAATCACTGCTCTTGGCTCATTTAATCCTTCGCCATGTTGCTGCTGTCAGCTCACCAACTAAGAGTGCAGAACGTGTGTGTGGCTGGGCCCATTTTCCCATGGTCTGTAGAAGGCGCTGTGAAGCACATCCTGTTCCAGCTCTGGGGCCCTTCCCCCCGCTGCAGCCTTACCCAGTGCAGGGAATGCGCCCCCTACTGACTCCAACACTCATCGCCTTTCGCCGACTTGGCTGCGGTGCATTTTGGGTGGGGGCTGGTATTTTCTTCATGGCCATAAACCAGAAGCAACAATGCAGATTTATGAAGAAACTGTATCAAGCTACCCAAGAGATTTTTTTTCCCCCCACTTTGAAGGTTCAAGACACGGGCATTCCGAGAAGCATCAGGACTAGGAATTGGGTGTGTGGGGATGGACAGCATTAAAATGGCCAACACAGGAAACAGTTTGGTTCTTTTTCCCTCCTAAGCCTTTGTCTGAGAAATGGGGTTATGGCAAGAACTGTCCAGAGGAACTGGTGAATGCAAGAACATCAAGAAGACTTAGTGTGGGTTCGTGTGTGGCTAAAAAGGATATCAGACCGTAGCGCCTGGTCTTGGGCAGAAGAGGAAGAGAAGCAATCGCGCCTTTTCCAGCAGACAGGCATCCAGGCTGGGGGTGGGGAGGGGAAGGCAGGCAGGCAGCCCAGAGGAAGGAAGAGGTGAATAAAAGGGTGCTCGAAGAAGTACTCCCCATTCATTGCATTAAAAGAAAAACCAATAAACCTTTCCGCAGCTTTCTGGATTTCCATTTTCTACCATCTTATTGCAAAGTTGGGGTGCACGATGATTCTAAGAGGTCGTGCTGACCTGAGTAAAAGGGGTGCTGGTGGACCCCGTGGTCAGGATAGGAGGGGAGCTGGCACGCTGGGGAGGAAGGACTGCACAGGAGGCAAAGACTTTCACTCCGTGCCATGCATGCTCCCCGCCCCCCATTCTGTCCCCCTCCCCCCCAGCAAAGGGTGGGTTGCCAGGCAGGAGGCTCGTCCCAGGCACTGGGGGTGTGCGTGGGGGGCTCGCGGAGGGGGGCGCGAGGAAGGGATGAGTTCCAGGGATGGGGGAAGCTCGGTTCTGGCTGGGGGCGGGGTGGAGGGAGATGCCATTAGCGGCAAGAGCTCCGGTGGCCAGGCTGGCTGGTGGCCTCCGCGGGCTCACGGGGCGGGGAGCGGGGGTCGGGCTGCAGGAGGAGGCGCCTGGCCCCCGGAGCAGAGCCGGGGAGCGGTCCGAGCGGTCCGTCAGCCCCGGAGTATGCCAAGGAGCGTGTGTGGCTGGAGGGCTGGCGATCGGAACAACAATGCGCCCCCGGGGCCGGCTCGGCGGGAGCCGCGCGGACCGAGGGTCGGGAGCTGGGCCGGAGCGCGGGGCCGCGCGCGGCTTACCTTGACTCGGCCTCGAGGCGCGCACGGGGCCGGCGTGCTCAGGGGCCGGGCGGCGGCGGCGGCGGCGGGCGGATG